GGCTACCAGACCAGCAGTGTGGAAGAAATGATTGTTAGTAATGGAGACTGGCGGCCTCATTACTATCCTATGAAATCAACCGCCACATGGTCCCAGAAAACCATCGTGTCGAATTCGTAATGATGAGGTCCAACCGTCCTGCTTTTATCTCAGCCAATAAACAATAGCCAGCAGTGACAATTAGTATAAAAGTATTGCAAAATAATTCTAAGTCTTCGTTGGATGAAGTCTACTGTCATATTAAAAAGTGTACAATTATTATTATCGACAAAATGGTGATTAAACTGAAAATTTTGTTTTAGTGTCATCTAATGGCTACTATTATAAACTTATATATTAAATAGCACGTCTAGTACGCCATCTGTTGTTTAATAGCTAATTTAAAAGTTGGACTATATATATTTTTGCTATTTCACAATAGGTTTCTAGCATAGATAAGAAATTATAATGATGTTATTGTTTGCTCCTAATAGAATTGTTAGCCTTTTTAAAAATCTTTAAATTAAGAGGGTAAAATACGGGTTTATAAATTTATATGGGTAGTCTGTCAGTTTTAAATAAAACGGGCCACCTCTTGCTTTCCCGTGGGAGTGATAAGAGATACTAAAGGTACTTAATAGTGGAGGAATGTGCAGCAGCGTCCCTCTTAAAACATCACCAAAGTTCAAGTGCCGTTGCCGACCCGCCTGCCAGGCGTGGCAACTAGTGGCAAATCATCCTCAAAGGCGAGGCGTGTGTTCAGCAGTGGCCAGGCTAACGGCTGATATCATCATCAGGGGCCCGGGGGGGGGGGGTTTAACAATGGAGACAAGGGCTCCATTGCTAACAATATACCAAACCAGGTCGACCTCCACGTGGTCCGCCCTGGAAACCATCGTGCTGAATTCCAAGTGTATTCATCAGAATGGGTTAACTGATCTGTCTTTTCATCCTTACCTATCATCACTAACTGGTGGTCCGCCAGCGTATACCGATAGCGGGGTTACTACTCCATCATCACACATTAAAAAAAAGATATCATCATCATCAAGCTTAAAAATGTGCAAAGAAAAATAAAAACGTCGCAATTTACTTTTTTGTAATCAAAAGGAAATTTCATGCTCACTACTTTGAAAATTGTAGACTTTCATACAACCACTTAATCCTTTATTTATAAACTTACGCGCGAGCGAAGCCGTGAGCAACAGCTAGTTAAGTATATTTGGATATGTACGTACCTAAATGAAAAATTATGATTTGCAAATTGAATTTATTACAAGTCATAACTTTGAAGTAAACTTAAACTAACTTTTTTTTTTGTGATAGGTTTACGGCTTTGGGTATATCTTTTCAACCCATCTTTAATTTCCAATACTTTTATTCCAGCGAATATTCTTGAAATATGTATATACGTGGGACACTCAGAAAGTTCTGCGACACTAAAAAAATGTTCTACAGGTAAATATATTTCTATTACAACTTTTTAAAGTACTCACCACCAGCCTCCAGACAAAGTTTCATGCGTCTGAACCAGTTTTCGAAACACTTTTTCCAGTACGCCGCAGACACCTCGTTTACAGCCTGCTCGAACGCTGAGAGAGTATCATCCGGCGACAAAAATTGTATTCCTTTGAGCTGATTTTTATTTTTGGAAATAAGAAGAAATCACACGGTGCTAGGCCAGGGCTGTAAGGAGGGTGACCCAGGAGTTTGACCGGTGTGCTGTCTAGGAAGTCCCTCGTTTTGATTGCGGTGTGGGCGGGCGCATTATCGTGGTGGAGCAGTAGCCCGCGGAGCTCTGTGTTTCATCGCTTGTTGCTCACAACAGAGAAAACTTCTGCCAAGCATTTGATAGTATAGCATTCGGCGTTAATGCTTCTTTGGTTTCGTAAAGGAATTGATACCAAGTATTCAGTTAAATTGAAAAAGCTCGCGATCAAAATCTTCGCCCCGATTCTAGGTCGCTTGACTTTGGTAGGCGTTTATTCGTTTTGAAACGCCCAAACCGTCGACTGGCGCTTTGTTTCTGGATCGTATTGATAAATCCAGGATTCATCACCTGTAACGATGTCGTAAACACGCCGAATTTCATACTGCTTAGACATGTAATTCCTGTTTCGACACCGAAGAAATGGCTGCTCACGTAATCCGGGAATGTGAAGCTGTGGGCCATCAACATTTATAAATTCTCGGAACGGTGGGGTCGCTCTGTGAGGCCTGTGAAGATCTCAGGAAGCTTCTGTGCTTCTGGGCGGAGCTAGGTTGGCTGTACTAACCACGATTCATACGCACAATGGCCCAAATTAGAGGCTAGGCGCAGAAAATAGAGTCCTATTCACATTCTCATTCTCATACATTCACACATGGGCCAACATATATATAGATATTTTAACTACGATATATAGATATTGCTACATATTGTCCACCTTTAATTTTTAGACATTGTTGTCCTAATAGCAACGCTATTTATTTAGGTTTTAAGTTTATTTAGTTAATCGCACGATAACGTTTTGCATATAAAGCCACAGATAGCATTTGATGAAGTCATACAATAATAGTTGATGAATAGTAATGGAGGCGGATTTAACGGACAAGGTGGTGCTGGTGACGGGCGCGAGCGCGGGCATCAGGCGGGCGGCGGCGCTGCTGCTGGCGCGGTGCGGCGCGCGGCTGGCGCTCGCGGGCCGCGACGACGAGCCTGCGCGCCGCCGCCGACAGCTGCGCGCGCCGCCGCCGCGCCGCGCTGCTGCCCGCCGACCTCGCCTGCGACCGCGGCTGCCGGCTCGTCGCCGCCAAGACCATCGAGCACTTCGGCAGGTAGCGCACACTCTGCCTCTACATTCAACGACTCATCCTTTATTTCTATGTTTTTAGAGACGAATTTCCATAATGATTAAAGAATATGAAAACGCGCGGATTTCTGAGTCCACCCCTGATTACCCCATCTGGGATTGTCTTGGCTGATGCTTTACAAAACTTATTCAATAGACCTATAAATATTTATTCGTATTTTAAATATCCCCTAACGATTATATGCAAAAACAATGAATTCATTGTATTCATCTGTACTGTTTGAAACTGATGAGCTCGAAGTGACGCAACTCATTGACTCTCTCATATAAACATACATATGAACATACTAATTCGCAACAGCCGAGTCTCATCCGATATCGTGAAAGCGGCTACTTACACCCCTAAGGAGAACGTCCCCATCGACGGCGAAGCTCAAGGCACGCACTCTTGGACCCCGACGATCTAATTACATTGGCAAATTTGGTACTCTTACCAACCTGTTTCTTATGGTGTTCCTCAGGGTAGCGTACTAGGCCCAAGTCTACTTTGACGTACATTAATAATTTTCGATGAAGATCTTTGAAAATAAGTAATTTAAAGGTATGTATTATTCGTAACACTATCACGCACACACGTAAGTGCGCACGCACACACTACTACATAAGTACATTCATATTCTGACACTCACAAATACATACAGTGCAAATCCTTCTAAAACATATTATAAACGTGAAAGTAGATTTGTTTGTTATCTTATAGCGCTTCAACAGCTTAACCAGTTACTATGGAACTTGGTATTACACGTACTAGATGCAGAAGGATATAGGCTACTCTTTATTCTGGACAGTAAACGTCTTCTGGTCACGCAAACGAAGTCACAGATCAGAGCTAGATACATAGAGCTAGTACATTTAAACGCATCCTTATTCTATCTATCTATCCTATTTAAGACCTGCGCTTTTGTCGGTGGAGCTTTTGCTACTCACTACGATTTTCAGCGAGTCTCTTCATCTCTTGATACATCACAACACCAACTCCTTCCTTGATCTGCCTGATGTAACTATGTCTCGGTCTCCGTCTTCCCCTCCTTCCTTCTATCTTACCTTCTATTATAATGTTCATAAGTTCGTCGTGTCGTATCAAGTGTCTCAACATTTTTCCCTTTCTGTCCTCAATAGTTCTAACAATTTGTCTTTTTTCCTTAACCCTAAGCAGGACCTCCTCATTGCTAATTCGATCCCTCCAGCTAATTTTCTCCATCCTTCTCCAGCACCACATTTTAAAGGCTCTAAATTTTATTAGCATCCTTATTAGTCTCGACAAAAAAAAATATTATTGTTTCAGTACATATCATAAGTGTGACGACGAATTTCCTGCTAACTGCGAGTGGTGCGATGTAAAAGTGGCTGTGGGGGAAGGGATTGTTAGTAATGGGGAGGTTAGACCCCATTGCTATCAATGCACTATCTAACTATCGTGACTAATTTATCGTTGAATTCGACACGATGGGCCAACTGACTTGTTTTATCTTCCTCACTTGTCATCCCTCACTGGTGCCCCGCCAGTGTGTACTGATAACGCGGGCGGGGGCGAGGTTACTATTCCATTACCATTCATTAAAAAATAAGGTGGCTGTAGGCATCATATCGAAGAGTATTTCAGAACACAATTTGTTATACAGGCGCTAGAACAAGCATAGAGAAGCAAAGCCACGCATTATACTAACATAGCTACACGTATGTATATTGTATCCGGTTAGATCCATTCCGCAGCACTAATATTTAATTAAATATCACAAAATAATGTGTAAATATTATTCCATTAGGCAGACTAGACATAAAATCTAATTGTAAACTTGCCTACTTGTTTGCGCAATATTATACCTACGTCCATAAGTGTTAATCCTTAATTACATATCGCAAAATAATTTTCTTGTTACATGCATTTGAAAATATTTACCATAAAGTTTTATTATAACTAGAACACATTTTTCAGTGTCTAGATATTTAAAAAAAATGTTAGGTAATCAATTTTATTTTGTTATTTTGGCTTTTTTCAATAAGTAATTCATTATTTATTTATTTATTCTTATTAAAAAAAATGTCTGGTACAAAAGACGGACTTAATACTATATAGCATTCTCTGCCAGTCAACCTATAATATAATTTAATGAATAACAAAATTTTTGTTACATTATTTAGGTCAAATAAATAAATCTAATCCCCTAGATTGGACGTGCTTGTAAATAATGCTGCTATAACCGCTCGGTGCACCATCCAAACCACGGACATGGAGACCTTCGACCGCGTGTTCGCTGTAAACATACGAGGTGTGTACAACCTGACCCGGCTACTGGTGCCGGAGCTGATCAAGTCACGAGGGAACATCATTAATGTGTCAAGTATCGTTGGATCAACAGTTTCGATCGGCCAGTTACCGTATGCAATGGCTAAGGTAATTATGCTTTTTTTTATACAACTTAGTATAGCAAACAAGCTGACGGCCCACTTGATGGAAAGTGATAAACCGTTGTCTATAGACATGAGCAGTGCCATGGACATAACAGTTTCGCCCATGATACCCCCCATGCGTTGTTATTCCTGAGGACTCAGGTGTTATTCCTCTGTACCCAGTAAATTCACGCCATATCCCACCCTTCAAATCGAAACACAGTCATGCAAACACAACTGTTTCACGGTTGAAACTCGAATGGGACAGAGGTGCTCAAGCAAACGACTTTTGTACAAAGTCTTATAGTATTTTATTTACTTATTTTTTTATTTTAATTTATATTTTATGCAACATAAAATAGCAAACAAGTTGACGACTTGCCTGCTGGACAATACAGCGTGATAATATGGTGCATATTCGTTGCCTATGATTTAACAATCATATCTTACCTTTAAATGAAACACACAGCTACGCAAACATAGTTTTTCAGCGGCTGAAACAGCGGAAAGACAAATAAACGAATAAATATCCGAACAAATATTCTTTGTACAACGTCACTTGCTTAGGATTCCTTTTGTAAAAAACTAGAGCTGCCCGTGAACTTTGTTTTTTTGACTTTCCATTACAATTAGTTTCTAAAAGTCTTCCAAAAAATCTTGAATATCTCGTTCTTTTTGGAAAAAAATGCTTATTGTGAATTAGAATGCATAGTGTGAGTTATGCAAAGATTTACGTCGCGACTTGGATACTTAATAAATTTGGATAAATGTGGAAACTTGGATTAAATATACATCGAGCCTCAATAACGGGTCAACTTTTTACAGCTAATTGTCAAATTAGCTGACTCGTTTACTTATCAGTGTTCTATATACTTACGCGCAAAATGTATCTTGACGTACCAGGGGGAGACTTTGTACAAAAGTCGATTGCTTGGGTACCTCTGTCCCATTCGTGTTTCAATCGTAAAGCAGTTGTGTTTGCATGGCTGTGTTTCAGTTTGAAGAGTGGGATATGGTGTGAATTTACTGGGTACGGAGGAATAACACCTGAGTCCTCAGGAATGGAAACGCATGGAGGGTATCATGGACGAAACAGTATACTCGGTTATGTCCATGGTACTGCTCATGTCTATAGGCGACGGTTACCACTTTCCATCAGGTGGGCCGTCAGCTTGTTTGCCATTCTAAGATGAATAAAAAAATAAATAAAAAAAAAATAAAAAAAAAGTTGTATTTATATTTAATTATCTAATATATAAAATGAGTTTTTACGCAATTAAAAAGATGCAAAATTTATAAGGCAAAATAAATATAGAAGTTGTAAAGGAATCACTCGTAACTATTTATCACGCATTCACAATATTGTATGAAAAAGTTGACCCGTTTTTCTCGAAGCATTTGTATGGAGACACACTATCTGCGTATATAATCTAAATATGTAGGGGGGAAAGGGATTGTTAGTAATGGAGACTGAGAATCCCATTGCTAGCAACCAGGTCGACCTCCTCGCGGTTCCCCCAGCACTTCATGATTAATTCCTGATGAATTCATCATGATGGGCTAACTGGCCTGTTTTCATTGTCATCTATCACCCTTCACTGGTGCTCCACCAGCGTATCCCGTTAGCGCAGGCGGGGTTACCATACCATTTTCACCCATCAAAAAAATGAGTATGTAAATTACCGAAACTATCAGCTAAAGGCATAGTAAAGTTTTTATAATTTTTAATCAGAATATGTATGTATGTAACATGTACCACCAGAGGGAGACTTTGTACAAAAGTCGATTGCTTGGGTACCTCTGTCCCGTTCGTGTTTCAACCGTGAAGCAGTTGTGTTTGCATGGCTGTATTTCGGTTTGAAGGGTGGGATATGGTGTGAATTTACTGGGTACAGAGGAATAACATCTGAGTTAGTCGTCTTTTACTATACCCACGGGAGAGGAAGAGTTTTTTTAGAATAATGGATTAGTAACCCCGCCTGCGTTGTTGGTATACACTGGCGGGGCACCAGTGAGGGATACTTGGTATAGGTGAAAAGGCAGGTAAGTTAGTCCATCGTGACAAATTCGACGATAAGTTTGTTATGATGGTTTCGAGGAGGAAACGCGTGGAGGTCTACCTGATAAGGTCCATTGATAGCAATGGGGACTAACCTCCTCATTACTAACAATCCCTTTCCCCCGGAGAGGAAAGGTTGGCCTATTCTATGCCGGGACCACACGGTAAATATGTATGGTATAAAAATATATATATTCCTTTCAACCCTGTTTAGTTGAGGCTTGAATTATTTTGTCTTGAATACATTTGTTATTTTCAGGCTGCTTTGGATTATTTCAGTCGGCTAATTGCTGTTGAGTTGGCGCCATTCGGGGTCAGAGTGAACACTGTCAGTCCCGGCATTACTGTGAGTTGTCTGTTTTTTAGATGCTTTTTAAATGATATTTGAATTTTTTCTTTTATCATCGAGTCAAGCTTGAGTGGTATACTAATTTTTTAAGAGACTTTTAAAAGAATAAAATCGTCATTTCGTCTGATTTTTTTTACGCTTGTGTTAAGCGATATGATGCCAATTTAAATTTCACAATACTTTTTTCTATTGATAGGGTTTGATACCGTGTTTGTCGAATTTTAATTTCGTGATTAATAAAAAACTGTTTGTTGTAAAGCCAAATTTATATTTTTTCTTTTTTTTTTATCTACAATAATACTTAATAAGTGCCTCAAAATCACATTAAACTAGGTACGTTCGCAATTGAAGTAGCTTTTTTTACAGAGCAATATATATTTTAACATATGTACTTAATGGTCGAGAGAGGCAAAATTCCGCAAGTGGGAGACTTATGTTCAGCCGTGGATAGTTAAAGGCTGATATTTTGATGCTAAAGAATCAGTAGATATAATGTATTACTTACTAGTTTCGAATATAAATATTATAACTATATATAACCAGAGGGAGAGTTTGTATAAAAGCCGTTTGCTTGGGCACCTCTGTCCCAATCGTGTTCCAACCGTGAAGCAGTTGTTTGCATGGCTGTGTTTCGGTTTGAAGGATGGGATATGGCAGTGAATTTTTAAGGTACAAGGGAATAACATCTGAGTGCTCAAGAATGGCAACGCATGTGGGGTATCATGAGTGAAACACTATACTCTGTAATGTCCATGGTACTGCTCATGTCTATAGGCGACGGTTACCACTTTCCATCAGGTGGGCCGTCAGCTTGTTTGCCATTCTAAGTTGCATAAAAAACTAGTTGCCCCTCATTTACGACGGCAAATTAAAAGTTGTGGTGATGGTAGTAGAGGAAAGCCGCAGTCTAAGGAATGTACTCATAATAATCGGTGAGGATCAGAAAGGTTATCGAGCAAGGCCGTAGTTAAACCCATGTTTAAGGTAGGGCAAAAGAACTTTTTGGTAAGGCAGGGAGGAAATAAGCATGCGGCTCATCTGACGATAAGTGACTACCGCCGCCCATGGTCACCCACAACACCAAGTATTGCAGGTGTGCTGCCGGCCTTTTAAAAAGGAATATGCTCTTTTCTTGGAGGTTATGATGATATGTGACTTCGAAAAAGGGAATCCGTCTAATTTTTTTGGGCCTTTCATTTTAAGGTAGGGCAAATCCCTTTATTGCCTCGCCGCCCTAGCTATGGCCATGTTCTCGAGTCTAATGTTACGCTTTGTTTACTCAGGTCAGTAAAATGGTACAGCGCGTAACAAATTACACCGACGAGCAGTACCAAGAGTTCCTGAAGGAGGCGGCTACCACCATTCCGCTGGGCGAAGTGTGTGTCGGGGAGGACATAGCCAAAATGATAGTGCATCTAGCGAGCGACAACAGCCGCCTGGTGACCGGCGTCAACGTGCAGGTAAAGACATACTAAGACGCACATATCGATTCTTTTTACTGACTTTAAAAGCTTTTATGTAAGTAGGTCACTTGTTTATATTTTTCTTTAATGGGTGATAATGGAATGGTAACCCCGCTTGCGCTATCGGTATACGCTGGCGGGACACTAGTTAGAGGTGATAGGTGAGAATCAAGCAGGCTAGTTAGCCCATCGTGACGAATTCACCAATAAAAAATCAGTTACAATTATTTCTAGGGTGTACCGTATGGAGGATATTAGTATTAACAATACTTAATAAGGGGGGGGGGGGGTAAAGGTTTTTTTCATTAAGTAATGGTAACCCCGCCTGCGCTAACGGGATACGCTGGCAGGGCACCAGTGAAGGGTGATAGATGAGAATGAAAACAGGTCAGTTAGCCCATCATGATGAATTTATCAGGAATTAACTATGATAGTTTCCAGGGGAAAACGCGAGGTCGACCTGGTTGGGTATATTGCTAACAATGGGATTCTCAGTCTCCATTACTAACAATCCCTTTCCCCCCAACTGTATATGTGTAATATTAATCAATGATCTGGAGTTAGATATTAATTGGAGTCATAAAATTAAAAGAGTTAAAATGTTTTTGATATCGACAGTATAGTAACAGACATTTATTGTTCCATCCCCACGTGAAGGTGGACGGAGGGCTGCAGTACACCAATGATCACAGGCTGATCAAGAAACAAGTTCAATAAATACATTATGTACTCACCTATATCTAATTGCGTAATGTAAAATTATTACAAAGGCAATAAATATTATTAAAGGTAAAAGTGACTCTTTTCTTTATTCTTCTGTAACCTCTTACCTCTTTAAACTCTGTAAAATCTGTCAATTCGTAGACCTCCCCATCGACCGCCTTAAATAACGGCCATGAGCTACCTGAATCCACTGTATTGCAGAGAGCAATGCATTTGAGATCGTCACTCCATCTAGTGGGCGGTTCGTCTTACATTACCTTTGCCCATACGGTGTCGCCACTCTAGAACCTTTCTTCTATCGGTTGTCGGTTCTTCGAGCTACGTGACCAGTTCATTGCCACTTCAACTTGCTTATCCTTCAGGCTATGTTGGTTGCTTTGGTACTTTTGCGGATATCCTCTTCTCAATCAATCGTCATGAATGACTCGTACAGTATTTAGCATTGATAATGACTTAGACTACTTCTTAGTTAGTAAAGTTGCAACCACTACGAAAATAGATTTTTTTTTTATTACAATAAAATAATTTTATTTCATCTTAATTTTGAATCACCTAATTCAGAAAAGCGTCTTCTGTCGAAGAAGTTTTGGCCAATTAATTAGTCCGTTACTTTATTTAGCGAAAATAAGAGTATTACAAATATAGTAGAGATATTAGAACATGTAATTAGAGGCAAGTAACAAAAATAAATATGAAATAATGCATAGTGTAAGTTGTAATAACCTATCAACTATATTTTGTATGTTTTAATTTAAAATTTTAACTTTCAATAAAGTTACAAAGGATCAAAAGTGCTGTAAGTCGTTTCGAAAAAAGGATGGTACGCTTGTGCTCGACTTGGCGGAGGCATTACCATGCTTCTTAAAGCACAAAGTACAAAAAATTACGTTACGATCAGTATTGTGCACATAAAAACATCTTGATGGAAATAATATAATAGAAAAAAGAATAATTAAGAGGTTCTGACAACATGTTAAGCTTCACCTTCACGTTTACTCGATAAGTATATGCTTGTACAGATAATATGTTACTATAGTTACTGTATTAGAAATACAGATGTGCTTACCTAGTATAATATAATAAATAATTTAAGATTGCGAATTTAATTGCGCCTCTAGCGGATAATTTTAGAAACTTATATTTCCATATAAACTTATATAGCGCCATCTGTTGTCGAATAGGAAATATACAGTAAAACATAAGTATGCTTTTATTAGTACGATTATTTATGCTACTTCATAATAGATGTCTAGCGTAGAATGTTTCTAAAACACTACGGTGCATACGAAAATTCTTAATTATATGTATACAAGCTTTAATCGGCTACTTCGTCCGTACGACTGGGATATGTTTACTGATCGAGATAAAGACTATATACCTACCTACATACCTAATTTCATAGTGATGATTAAGTCGTTAAGGTGCTGAGAGGTAACAAAAAAAAACTTACTTTGACATTAATAATAAAAGTATTAAGAGAATGGAGTCCTTAGATTATAATTATACCTTGATTAATGTTATAAATGTGAAAGTGAGTTTCTTAGTTACTGTTAGGAATAGTGGATTACTATCATCCCGGTCAATAGACATAGGTAGGTAGGAGGGAAAGGGATGGTTAGTAATGGGACTGAGAATCCCATTGCTAGCAATATACCCAACCAAGTCGACCTCCTCGCGGTTCCCCCTGGAAACTATCATGGTCAATTCCTGATGAATTCATCATGATGGGCTAACTGGCCTGTTTTCATTCTCATTTATCACCCTTCACTGGTGCTCCGCCAGCATCCCGTTAGCGCAGGCGGGGTTACCATACCATTTTCATACATCAAAAAAATCATAGGTAGGTATCCTGGTCGTGCGGACGAAGCCGCAGGCTGACACTAACTGTAGATAATAAAAATTATTATGAAAAAAAAAGTACTTTAACTTTTTAATATTAATCCCCATAATAATAAGAAAAACAATTATAGGGGGCTTTATGAACGCAATAGAAACAAAAACTATGATTTTTAGAATTTAAAAAATAACCGATCAGTTAAATTGACTGTAATTTTATCAAAGCATTAGGTACGTAATTATCATTTAAGTATATAATACAATGTAAGACCGGATTCGTGAAGAACGATATACGGGAACTACATAGAAGCGGCCAACACCGCGGGAAACGGCTAGTTTTAAATATAAATAGATGTAATATTATACATTAAGAATAGAGTCAAATACAAAAAAAAAATATAAAAAAAAATTATAAGCAGCATACCTTATATACCTTCCACACTTGACATTTTGCAAAATGAATTAACATACCTACACAAAGCGGAGCGCTGCTTTCTTGAGAAGGGTTTCTCTGAACGTTGGCTAAAGTGTCAGATATTTTTAAACAAATTATTCCGCGGTGTGAGCTCGACAGTGTCTACGAGCGCCGCTTCCTAAAATTCATCCGTGGGAACGCGTCCCGGGGACAGGCAAGGTGTTACGTTCGTCCGAAATGTGCTGATGACAAGTTGAAGTTTATTGGTCGACAAGAAACATTTCAGGTATTGTATTATATTGTTTTTTTTTTCATAGGTGAAAATGATATGATAACCCCGCCTGCGCTAACGGGATACGCTGGCGGAGCACCAGTGAAGGGTGATCGATGAGAATGAAAACAGGCCAGTTAGCCCATCACGATGAATTCATCAGGAATTAACCATGATAGTTTCCAGAGGGAACCGCGAGGAGGTCGACCTGGTTTAGTATATTGCTAGAAATAGGATTCTCAGTGTCCATTACTAACAATCCCTTTCCCCCCTGTATTATATTGTTAACATCTGCATGTATTTATTCGGAAGTTTCACAAATATATAATCTTGAATTTATATATGTTTTTTTGGTGATTGAAAATGGAACGGTAACCCCTGTTGCGCGCGCTGTCGTTTGTACGTTGACGGAACACAAGTGAAAAATGAGACAAAAGACGATAGCTTAAAGGTTACAAGGCCCATCGTGACAAATTTAAGAATTGACTACGAATGTTTCTAGATAGATAGATAGTTTATTTGTATTACTTACAGCGCACAAATAACAACAGACATAAAAAAAAAGAAAAGTGAATAAATTTTAGATGACTATAGGTCTGTGATTTCTAATTTTAAAAACTTTAATATAAATATATCATAAACTTATATAATATATATATATATATATATATATATATATATATATATATATATATATATAATATATATATATATATATATATAAGTACAGAGGAATAACACCTGAGTCCTCAGGAATGGCAACGCATGGGGGTATCATGGGCGAAACAGTATACTCTGTTATGTCCATGGTACTGCTCATGTCTATAGGCGACGGGTACCACTTTCCATCAGGTGGCCTGTCAGCTTGTTTGCTATTCTAAGTTGTATAAAAAAATGTTTTTTTTTTACAACACGAAACGAGTATGCAGCTCATCTGATGGTAAGTGACTACCGCCGCCCATGATCACCCACAACACCAGCGGCATTACAGGCGTGCTGCCGGCCTTTTAAAAAGGAATATGCTCTTTCCTTGAAGGTTACGATGTCGTATTAGTAAGTAAATTGAAAGATGTCCGTCATGCGTCTCATAGCTATCCCGGCCGAGCATGTTCACATTAAAAATATTTTCAAATAGGTTTTTTTATTTTATTTATTTATCTAGGCGTATACCAAAAAGCGCTTACACTCACCTCGTCGGGTGCCGTAACCCAATACTGTTAACTAGCGCTTCTGTTTGCCCCCAGTTTTGTTTTTGTGTCTGGTGGCTGGTGGCTGGTGTCTGAGTGGTAACACGCAACACAGCCCACGGTGTTGGTTACACGACCCGCCCACGATACATCTGGATTCGTATCAGAAGAACTATTTTTCCAATTTTACATTGACGAACACACAAACTGTGAACATAGTCACAATTTTTATGCGCCATTATTTGTTTATTATTTTAGAATATACGGGAATAAAGTATTGGGTTTGCCACGTGATTAATGGAACGTATTATTATTAAAGTGAAGCTGAAGTGGCAATGATCTGGTCACATAGCTCGAAGAACCGACAACCGATGGAAGAAAGGTTCTCGAGTGGCGATCGCGTACGGGTAAATGCAGTGTGGTTAACCCCTCTGTAGATGGAGCTTGAAATGCATTGCAGGGAGTCAGTGCACGCAGGTTGTTCAGGACCGTTCCTTATGGCAGTCTATGGGAGAGGATTATGTCCATCAGTGGACGGATAATGGCTGAAATGACGATAAAATTACATGTAAAATACATATTTTAGACCAGTAATGGTTACCACTTACTCTTTACCAAAAAAAAAATGTGGGATATGGCAGTGAATTTACAGGGTACAAAGGAATAGCACCTGAGTCTTCAGGTATGGTAACGCATGGGGGGTATCATGGGGGAAACAGTATACTCTGTTATGTCCAAAATACTGCTCATGTCTATAGGCGACGGTTACCACTTTCCATCAGGTGGGTCGTCAGCTTGTTTGCCATTCTAAGTTGTATAAAAAAAAAACACAACAATGACTGACTTGACTAACAAATGTTGACTCCATGCATTTGACTAGTCCATCTAATGTTACAGTCGTGACCCGAACATATATTGCTTCTCATAGTAAACTTTTCTCGCCTATTTGGAATATATTTGTTCAAGTTCTTAGTTTGTGTGGTTTCATTGTAATACAATACGACTATTTGTACAACTGTAGCTCGTCTTTTGACTTTAGTTGGCTTTTTAAAGCAAAAAATTATTTTTAGGGGTGTTTTTAAAGAAATCTCACCATTTGTTTAGAAGATAAGTTTCACTAATCAGTGACATACTTACCATATCTGTTGAGATATTGGATTTGGAACAAGTTAAATTTTTTTTTATTATTAATATTTTTTTAAAACATCTCCATAGTCTAACTGCGGTTGTCAATCAATCGCTTGACACGCGTGGCAACTAAAAGATTAACTGCGGTAGTTACCTCGCCTGCCAAGCGTGGCAACTATTAGCAAAACCCCTCCTTATGGGGAAGGCTTATTTATTTATTTAGCAGTGGACATTT